AAAGCAAGAAACCTTATTCTCATTGTTCCTTCTCTGTCTGGCATCCTTTATGAGGTTCTAGAAAAAGCTCACGGGAAATGGAGTTCAAAGGTATGTTTTTCTTGGTGCTACAAAGTTTGAAAGTCCACGCACGAATTTTTCATAGTACGTATTTCCCACAACCTTTTAGAAGTTCTCGTACATGCCAACATGGAGTATTCTCTCTTCTTGACATAGCGATTTCCTGGAGATAATGTGGCTGCAACTCAGTGAATAGGAGATTTCTCTTCACTTCTGCAGGATGCAGTATGAGTAGCATCCTAAAGAATACAACTTGATCACAGGTTACCATCTATGCTAAAACGTTTTTTTTAGGACAAGGTTTTTCTCTCAGGGAGGGAACTCTGAAAATCTTCCGTGGTACTCTTTCCTGCTACATTTATGCTAACCATACGATACTTCAGGGAGTTCATGGAAAAATGGAATTAAAAGATGTTTACTTTGGCACAAAAAAATTTTGAAGTCCATGCAGTTTTTACATAACACCTATTTTCCATGAATATTGTGAAGGCCCCCTCATATGCATGAATTTCAAAAAAATTTTTGCACCAAAATATTTTTTAATTCCACTTTCTGTGGACATTTTGAAGAACCCTCATATAATTTTTTTTTTTTTTTTTTGACAGGCAGAGTGGATAGTGAGACAGAGAGAAAGGTCTTCCTTTTGTCATTGGTTCACCCTCCAATGGCCGCCACGGTTGGCACGCTGCGGCTGGCGCACCGCGCTGATCCGAAGGCAAGAGCCAGGAGCTTCTCCTGGTCTCCCATGGGGTGCAGGGCCTAAGCACTTGGGCCATCCTCCACTGCACTCCCGGGCCACAGCAGAGAGCTGGCCTGGAAGAGGGGCAACCGGGACAGAATCTGGCGCCCTGACCGGGACTAGAACCCGGTGTGCCGGCGCCACAAGGCGGAGGATTAGCCTAGTGAGCCGCGGCGCCGGCCCCCTCATATAATTTTATCCTTAAAATTTTTTGACAAAGTATGCAAGATTTCCATGCCTGGAAATCATGACGTTCTAGGCAACCCTGAGGTATGGTCGCCTCTAATGCAACCTTGGTGTTGGAGGATTCTCATCAGACTGTGTAACCTCTAACCCTAAAGCTTGACATTTCGATTTCACAAAAAACAATGTAGAGACTCTGTTAGATGTGCATTTTTCTGGTTATGCTAATACACCAAATACAGCTATCTGGCACATGGATGAATGTTTGCGTTTCAAGTGTCGTTGTCTGTCTCACAGATAAAAGAGCACAGGAAGCAAGTTAGTTGCCCTGAATTACATGTCAGAGCTGAACTCAAGGTCAATAAAGACTGAATCTGCAACAATTGTGTTACTCATAGAATCATAAAAGGGGCCAGCACTGGTGTAGCAGGTAAAGCCACTGCCTGCACTGCCGGCATCCTCTATGGGCACTGGTTCTAGTCCCGGCTGCTCCTCTTCTGATCCTGCTCTCTGCTGTGGCCTGGGAAAGCAGTGGAAGATGGCCCAAGTCTCTGGGCCCCTGCACCCATGTGGGAGACCCGAAAAAAACTCCTGGCTCCTGGCTTTGGATCAGCCCAGCACCAGCCACTGTGGCCATCTGGGGAGTGAACCAGCAGATGGAAGACCTCTCTCTCTCTCTTTCTTTCCGCCTCTATATAACTCTGTCAAATAAATTTTTGAAAAAAAAAAAAAAAAGGAACCATAAGAGGCTATCTTCTAGAATGTGATCAGATTTCTACTATTTTACCTTGGTAAGCTTTAAAGTGCCTTTCTCTAGTTCACGGTAATCCTCTTCATCTTGCTTCTCTAAGAAGCCAAAGTAAGACTCCAAGTCATAGAAGTTTGGTCATTTTTTAAAAAGATTTATTAATTTATTTGAAAGTCAGAGTTACACACAGAGAGCAGGAGAGGCAGAGAGAGAGAATCTTCCATCCAATGGTTCACTCCCCAATTGGCTGCAACAGCCGGAACTGCGCCTATCCAAAGCCAGGAGCCAGGAGCATCTTCCGGGTCTCCCGCTTGGATGCAGGGGCCCAAGGATTTGGGCCATCTTCTACTGCTTTCCCAGGCCACAGCAGAGAGCTGGATTGGAAGAGGAGCTGCCGGGACTAGAACCAGCGCCCATATGGGATGCTGGCACTTTAGGCCAGGGCATTAACCCGCTGCGCCACAGCACTGGCCCCAGAAGTTTGGTCATTTTAAAATGTTTTTGGTACAAATTTCTTTGGGCATTCAAACGCGCTCGGGTATTCATTAAGTTTGGTACTAGGGATTTTGTGTGTCACAGTAGCCAAGCAAGAGTTGTTTTAACTCAGCATATCTTGTATTGGCAAGTTTAAAAAAAGAATTGTGGAGCCATACTTGGCCCAACCTCCCTCTGGTTTGCCCACACTCTGTCCGGTTCCTGCAACTTGATGGCTGCCCATCCACTCCTAACACACACCTCTTCTGTCTCAGCTGGTGATAAGTCTTGGCCTTGACTACCTATCATGTCTAGTAAATGGGCATCCAGAACGTTTTATAACAATTTTCACATCTGTATCTTTTTTAAAAGATTTATTTATTTGAAAGACTGGTTTACTCCCCAAATGGTTCCAACAGCTGGGGCTGTGCCAGGCTGAAGCCAAGAGCCAGGAACTTCTTCTGGGTCTCCCAAATGGGTACAGGGACCCAAGTATTTGGGCCATCTTCCAATGCTTTCTCAGGTGCACTAGCAGGGAGCTGGATGGGAAGTGGAGCAGCTGGACTCAGACTCTAACTGGTGCCCATCTGGGAAGCCAGCACTACAGGCTAAGGCTTAACATCCTATGCCACATCGCCAGCTCCTTGCATCTGTACCTTAAGCGCATTCTTAACTTCCACACCTTTGAACACTGTTTGCCTTTAAAGTTTTAAGTTCTAAATTTGCACTTTGAGGAATCTTCCCCAAGCTATGCATTTCAAACTTTTCTTTACCAGTGAATATCCAATGAAACTCACTAAATGGCAGAAAGGACTTCGAGCAAACAATCAATGTTACATAGATTTGGCTTTCCAGGTAGTTCTGGAAGCAGAACTACAACACCAAGGCAACCAGGACAGGTGCATGTAACACATACGTTTCTCAGCTTTTTGGTTCTGTAACAAACACCCAAGAGAAGCTACTTATGCAGAAAGGAGCTTTATTTTGGCTCTCAGATTTGGAGGTTCACAGGCCCTGTTGATTCAAGCATTTGATGGCCATGTTGAAGTTCATGTGAACAAATGAACCAGGCAGCAGAGAGAGACCAGGCCCAACTTGGCTTCTGTAACCACCCTCTCAGGACAACTATCTTCTGAAGTCCAAAGGACCTCCCACCAGGCCCACCTCCTAAACCACATAATTGGATCAAACCCCAACTATGCCAGCACCACCAACCCAAGGCTTTGGGGTCTGAACATCCGCTAATTCTGTATAAACCATAGCAGCCTGTTCCTGAAGAGCCTTTTATCTCGGGATGCCAAGCCCAGTTCCACAACATGAGCTGTGTGATCTCCACCTCAGCCCTTACCTGCCATCGGGAAAATGGGAATGGCACTTGTCTCAGAAGTTTCTTGTGCAGCTTGCATGGGACCGCGCACATAGATGGTGTAGCAGTCTCATCCGGACTTAGATATTTGTCTCCTAGACTGTACGTCTTCAAAGGCAGGTGGAGTGTTTAGGTGAATGAGCAGTAGTATGAAAAGCAAACTAAGAGCTACCATTATTAGCTCCTAGGAAATGAAGCTACTTAGCAAGTAAGGGCAACACATGGAGTTCAACTGATTTTGGCCTTTTCATCTATAGACAGTTCATCTTAGAAGTCTTCCCACAACTTTATAAAACCTGCTTAGTAGTGTCTTAACAGGACAAGTCAGGAGGTCTTGTGGAAAAGGCATAGATCTAGATTGTTCAACAATGAGCCAAATACAAGGGTACCTAGAACAGTGCTGTGGCACAGAGGGTTAAGTTGTGGCCTATAGTACTGACATCCCATATGGGCGCTAGTTCAAGTCCCAGCTGCTCCACTTCCAATCCAGCTCTCTGCTATGGCCTGGGAAAGCAGAAGATGGCCCAACTCCTTGGGCCCCTGCACCCACAAAGGAGATAACGGAAGAAGCTCCTGGCTCCTGGCTCCTGGCTTCAGATTGGCACAGCTCCAGCCGTTGCTGCCATCTGGGGAGTGACCAGCGGATGGAAGACCTCTCTCTTTCTGCCTCTCCTTCTCTCTGTGTAACTCTTTCAAATAAATAAATAAATATCTACCAAAAAAAAAAAACCAAACAAACTAAAAACCAAAAAACTAAGCCAAATACAGTCTAATGACAAACTACGTTTTGGTGTCTTTAGAGCTGGCTCCATGCTCTGTGAGCTTAGCAATTTACTCTTTTAAACTTGGATCTTCTAGGGCCGGCACTGCGGCACAGTGGGTTAAAGCCCTGGCCTGAAGCACTGGCATCCCATATGGGCACCGGTTCTAGTCCTGGCTGCTCCTCTTTCCATCCAGCTCTCTGCTATGGCCTAGGATAGCAGTGGAGGATGGTCCAAGTCCTTGGACCCCTGCACCCACGTGGGAGACCGGGAGGAAGCTCCTGGCTCCAGATCGGTGTAGCTCCAGCCGTTGCGGCCACCTGGGGAGTGTGTCCCCCCCCCCCCCGTGAAAGGCAACAGTAGCCACTACCAGGTTCAACACTGAAGGCAGGGCAGTGATGATAAGAACAGAAGTATCCGTTCATAACAGAAGGCAGAGTAGCAGCAGCAGTAGGGGTAGACGGAAGGTTCCAGATAATCTGGTGACAAAAAACAGCCTGGCCTTGACGGGACAGGGAGTCCCCACGACGGGCACTGCATTGCTGAAAGGGTTTGCACGGGAAATTCTAGGTCTTCTCTCCTTACCACAACAAACCTGCAGTTGTCTAGGCTCTGGACATGCTCAGGGAAGCCCAGAACTAAGTCTAAAGAATGAAGTACATGGAAAAATCGTGAAACCATGAAAATACATTTTTTTAAAAAAGTTTTCAGGTATTATACACAAAAGCAAACAAGTTTATCTTAAAAAATATCAAGTATCACATCCATAGCCTATTCCTAATTATAATTATTTCTTAAAGCAACATTTGTCTTTGTTTACAAATACAGCAGCAGGTGATAAACCTAACATCTCCAAACAGATTCTTACACTTCATAATACAAATGTATATGTCTCAAATCACATTTTAGGCAATTTAACTTAAAATGCATAGACAATTACATACATTAAATTTGTTAAGTCAATGAAAAATCACAATTTCAAGAAAAATTACAAAAACCTTTATAGAATACACATAAGGTCAAGTTTACTTAATGGCAACAAACCAGTATCTGCTAATCAGTGGGAGGCAGTCTAAGTACCTCTATCAGGGGAAAAGTGAAGAGGAAAAACATCCCATTACTTTGCACACTTGAATAGCTGCACTGATCAACACTACAATCTTGAAAAACACTAATTTTGCAGTTAAAAAAAAAAGTATACCCACTTTGCCCTTTAAAATGCCCGAAGGCTGGGCTGTAATTTCCTCCAGGAGCAATTCTAAAATGTTTATCTAGGTAAACTAATAATGGGTGTTCTGATGACTTCTGTAATGTCATTTCTAGACTACGAGCCTCTTAAGGACAGGATTCTCTTTCATCTGTATTTCTGGCATCTGGTGTAGCACCTGGATCACATTTAGGTAATTACTGAACGAATGTGGTCCTTGGATGTTTTCTACAGCCAGAAGCTTGCGTAGCATTTAATACTGATTAGTTTATTGGCAGTTTTTGTTTTGCTTGGTAGAATTCTAAAAACAAAAAAGAACAGCGTGTCTTAAACAATAAATATTGCTTTATTAATTAAATTAGTCTTCCCTGAAAGCCACCCCCCCTTTCTATGCATAGTACAGTGTATCAGTGTGATTCATGTCATTTTAGGCTTATGCTTTTGAAAAACTTTGCAAGTTCTGTGCTGAAGTTCAATTGGCCAGCTTAAATGATTTCTAGAGTGTACAACCTTGGCATCTAACAAAGCTTGCTCATGTCACTCAGGGCGAGGAAGACACTGGCACTGTTTAGAAGCATAGGCAACTGCTTGAGATGCAACCAGGCACAGTCTTTCCACAGCTTTGGGTAGAGCTATTTCTATCTACACTAAGTTTCAAAGGCTAGATAATTTGAATGCAAAAGGTAGCACTATTTGTGTGTGAGGTTATCACTGACAAGTTGACTTTTCTAGAAAATATTCCAATAGTCCACTAGAGTGGTGTGACTGAGAACAACAAAAAAAAAAAATCACCCTTTTTTCAGTCCTATTAAAGTCTTCCCTACTGAAGACAATCAATAGTAAAAAGGAAAAAAAGAGAAGGTCCTTGGATAACTAAGCAATGTATTCATTCCTAAATAATCCATATATTACTTTGTACAAAACAGGGCTGTGCAGACAGAGCTGTAAATAGTGTCTTCAAAAGCACAAAAGGGTGGTGGCTGAGCAAGGAACAGAGCTAAACTACGTGGCACACTCCTTTAGAGGGAGCGTTTGACTTTAGAGAACTAGGTGTGTGTGAGGACCTGAGTCTGTGTTTTAATTGTTTATTGTCATTTCGGGGGGAACGGTATTTCAAAACTCAAGATTCCAATTCAGAAATACTATTTCTGAATACCTCTCAACTACCTCCACTGGGTTTTTACAGAAATCTTTACTCTAACGCCCCTATGTCAGCATATTCCAGAGTAACAAGCAGCTCCTTCCATAAACTGATCTCAGCATCGGAATTACCTTGTAAAGGGGTGGGGGTGGGGATTCTTCCTAGATGCTTTCCCCTCATTTATCCACTGAAACTTCTGCTTCTCTCAATTCCACACTGAACCCAAAAACACTTTTGGCTCACAGCACCCACAATTGAGAAATTCCCTGCTTCCACTCCCAGACCCCAGCTAACTGAAGAAATGGTGTGTGTCCCACAAAACTAAAAAGAGAATCAAAGTGAATTCTATCATCCCTTTGATTTCCACTCTAAAAACAAAACGAAAACACAAAACTACCAAATACCAGTTTTAAAGTCTTTGAAAGCAAAGGGTTCATTCAAATGGCAGTTAACATCTAGGACACACGGGGCAGTATGAGTCACTAGCAAATTTATTCTCAAATCTTGTATTTATAGTCCTTCAAATCCTTTAGCAAAATGTTTTCTCCCCACAAATGGACTCCACAATTGGACCCCCCGACACACACCTGTCACCTTTTCTTTATATATCCTCTCTAGTATTACATTAATGCATATGAAGACAGAGTTATCAACTTATCCCAATGATGGACAGCCAAAATAACTACAAATAAAGAAATCTTTGCTGATATCTCACTTTTTTCCTAGCATTCTATCCTTCAAGAGTTAACATTTTGGTATTGACTAATGATGTAAGATACGATATGGCCACCTGCCTTGTCTATTGGAAAGTACTTTGACAAGAGTCTAAGAGTACTGTAGATAGCTATCACTTGTCCTTACGAAGAAGTGAAACAAAGATCACTTTTGCCACTTTGTAAGAGTTGTCTGACATTCCCTAGTCTGAAAATTGCTGAACAAATTAATTTTTTTTGTCAATTCTAAAAGCCTGGATCTACCATCTACTTAAAATAAGGAAGGGTTAAACAATGCATGTGCCTCTCAAAAGTGACCACCTTGACTTCTTAAAAGGAGGTAGCTTTCAAAACATTAAATTGGCAGCATTTGGCATTCTTGACATTTTAATTATAAAAGAATTAAGCTGCAGAATACTTTATTTCTAGGCAAAAGCAGAATTCAAGCATAAATATTTTCTACATTGGTCTGAAAAATTCACATTACACTTTAGAAACCCAATAGATACATTCAAAATTTCAAAACACTATTTAATAAGGTCAGGTCTACCCAAAAACTAAGAATCTGATTTAAAGGTAAGGTGTCAAAAAGTGACCAATGCTGTATGATATTTAAATATTAAATAGTTAATATTTAAGCAACACAGTAACACTGCTTTAAAGTCACTTGCAGGGATCTACAATTTATTACTTTCAGTGTTAGAGCTAGATTTTGTTTTTCAAAGATGGCACTCAATTTCACTTATGTACCAGTCAACAAATACAGAACTTAACGACTGGCCGTAAGCACTTCACAAGCAGATTCAGGGAACTATGCAGGAGACAATGCCATAGCTTAGCCAGACTCTGAGAGACGGATACACTTCCAATGCACATCCGTACAAAGACAACAGTCATGTCTGTATGACTTCAGATTCTCTAAACATAACTGCTCTGTTCTTATGACAGACTTTATCTAGAGTGTGCCAGTTCTCCATGTCAGGGAGAAATCAAGGGATGTGTCCCTTGCATAGAACTGAGGGACCAGGGAGGAACAAAGATCGAACGATCTGGACAGAAAAGCTGCCTCAGTTTTTGTGGGAATGAAAATTACTTTTTGCAATGAAGCAACTCCTAGGGTTTATCTAATTTGAGGTTCAACACAAGGAGAAAACGACTTCTGTCCTTGAGCTCTTTCCAAAGCAATATTCACGAATCATAATCCATTCGAAAGTAATACAAAGAGATCATTGATTCCTTAAAAAACTAGATACATGTTGACCTGGATTAAGGACAAAGTTAATTTTCACAAACACCAGATTTTAGTGCTTTACAGCCCATATGGCTTAAAATAAATCACAAATTTGTGCTACAAGCTCAAAGATAAAAATGAATACTGGTTGGCTATGAACTCAACATTTGACAATAATCACTTACAGTCTTATAATGTATATCTAACACATAACCTCAAGAGGACTAAGTTTATTTATCCTGTAGTTAGAGCAGCTCAAAATGTTGAGAGGCATCATTTGTTTACATTATAATGTGATTGTTTTCCAAAGTTTACTTAGGGGGAAAAGTGATTATAGAAAAATACTTGAAATTTGCCAATGAAGTTGCAGATTCTAACAATAATCCACATCATCTGAGATATTTTATGTGTATAGCTTTATAATTCAAACAAATTGTATTCAAGATCTATTCAACACACTTAGTCACTTTAACTTTGCATGAAAACCAAACAAAATCACATCTGAATGATCTGCTTTCCCATTTTTATCTGATTGTATTCATCTGATGTACTACACGTCCAAGTACAGGAGGCAGATATCTTCTGAGAGGTGCAAGAGTTGTTCTTTCATGAATGCCCTCTAACAGTGAAACCAGCAAATGTCATATATGCATTCATGTGCACATACATGTACTTCAAAAAGCAAAGCGTCATCTCTTCATCCACTGTTAACTTAATGGTACGACTGCAATAAAAAAAAGAAAAAGTCAACTTCTAGATTTTATAAATGGAGTTTATTAACTCCTTGCTGTGGCTTTAAATAAATTTAATGCTTAATAAATTCAAACAGCAAGACATCTCACTTAGTTATTTTGGCAAAGACTTTGCAAAGAAAATATTTTAGAGAATATATATAGCAAGTAGTTACACTACTGAAAGGAAGTAGTTTTGGGGGGCATTTTAATAAGAGTTTTTTGCCTTTAGAGCTGAGGTGCATGTCTAATTAATCTAGCTGGAGATGCGATTAGTTATTTGTGGGTTACCAGATCTTTTTTGTCTAAGTAGAGTCTTGAGGTTGCCTCTGGGTCCTCAGTTTACCTCAGGAGCAAAGTGGGGTGCTTTTATATTCAATCAAATGCCCAAGACAAGCTCCCAAACCGAGATGTGAACCCTAGTTCAGCCTGACTGAGGTAAAGCACAAAGTATCACACATGATACGCCAGAGAACAGTGCTATAGTCTTGAGCCCGGTGCAGCTAAGAATTTAACAAAGCTTTGGCTGAGAAACACCACGGAAAACTGCTTGAAAAGCTGGCAACATAACATACTTAATTACCTTGGATGCTCTAAAGTCTACCTCAGTACTAAGCCAGAAAGGCAGAAATTGCTTTTATTTAACTGTTGGTAAAACTACATTAAGATGCTATAAAACATCAAGAAATGTAAGTATCTCGGAGTTTACCTCAAGGATGCTGGCGAGGGAACCACCTACTACATTACAAAGTGTTTGGGATCTTTGGGAAATTTTTGTTCCTATTTTTAGTACTAGGAATACTTAGCTGTGCTTTCCACCTTTTAAATGCTTTACCTGAAGTTGTGGAACTAATTTTATACACACACATCCTTTTAAAAATTCTTACAAGCTTTCTAATCTTTCACCCAAAACTGGGGAAAACAAAATCTATTAGTTGTGTATACAACGATCAGTGCATGTTAAGTAACAAATCAAATACTCACATGGGGGCCACCCGGCATCGGTGGAGCACCAGCAGGTCCTGAAGGCACTTGGAAAGGATTACTGGGGGAAGGATAGAGTCCTGGTGCAGGATACGACCCTGCAGGGGCAGGATATGGTGCTGGCGGTCCCCAGGCTCCTGGTGGAACAGTGCCCCAGGGAACAGGGGGTGCCGCCCCTGGTGCTTGGGGAGGAGGAGCGGGATATGGCCCTGGAGATGGGTATGGCATATTAGGGGTAGGATACTGCCCTCCCATCCCAGGTGCCCAAGGTCCAGAAGACATGGATCCCCATGGACCTAAGGGGCCAGCTGTGGCTGGATCTGTGGGTGCACCATATGGTCTGGGTAGCTCTGGAAAGGGCATATTTGGTGTAGGATATGGCCCTGTGGGCCCAGGGCCTGGCACAGCTGGGGCTGGGTAAGGACCACCAGGTGGGGGGCACGATGGTCCAGAGGGAGGAAAGGGGGCGGGGGGTCCTGGAGGCGGTCCAGTGGGAGGCACGGAGGGGTACATTCCCGTTGGCGCTGGTCCAAAAGGCACGGTAGAGGGGGCTGCACTTGGCGGGAGTCCAGATGGCACTGAAGGTGGAGCGCTTGGGTTATTCCAAGGGTTGGAACCTGGCCAGCCTTGTGCTTGGGCAGGCTTTGTATTGCTCACAGAGGTCTTGGCAGGGGAGTGTTCAGGTAGTGCATCTGCCAACTGAAATACAAAACAGACAGGTCTTATCTGCCTTATTCAGGGACAAGTCACACCAACACAATACAAATACCCAGAGAGAACAATAAACTCAGGGATTAGAAACCTCAATAGCATCTTCAGAAGCTAAGCTATTCACTTAAAAAGCAATTCTTTTGATACAAAACTTGAGGTATTACCATGAATATCAACTTTATAGTGAAAATTCCTCAGAAAAGTTCAAATCTTCTAAATACAACTAAACATGCTGTGTTGCATTTCTGTCATGTGTTAGTAGAACAAATAAATTTTATAAAACAATTGAATTTAGGGTCAAGATCTATATTTCAATCTTGGTTTTATCCCAAACAAACCAAATACGCTCTCTGAGCTTCAATTTTTTTTGTTTTAAAGTTTCAAAGGGCCAGTGAAGCAAATTACAATATCAGAGTGCCAGTTGGAGTCCCAACTGCTCTGCTTCTGATCCAGTTCCCTGCTAATGTGCCTGGGAAAGCAGCAAATGATGACCCAAGGGCCTGGGCCCTTGCTATCCATGTGGGAGACCCAGATGCAGTTCCAGGCTCCTTTGGTCTGGCCCAGCCCTGACTGTTGCGAACATTTGAGGAGCAAACCAGCAGATGTCAAAACCTCTCTCTCTCTCTCTGCCCCTCACTCTGTAACTCTTTCAAATATTTAAATAAATATATTTTTAAAAGTCTCAAGTAAATAACCTGCACTTAACTTAGTGCCTGCTATAATTTCAATAAATGTTGCATATTATTAATATTATGATAAATAAGAGCAATAGAAGCAATACCTTAAAATTTTTCTTCTAAGGATTCATAAACAAATAAATACCAAGATATTTTCAACTATGTATTATCAAAGTAAACTGACGCAAATTACCTATCAATATCATATGACAAAAACAAATCCAAGAATCACAAAAAGCATCTCTTTTAAATGGCTCATAGGACTATACTGTTTTCTTAAGAACAAAACTTATCAAGGATAAATGTGCCAACTTACCGAAAACTCATCAGACATTTTCCTAAAGAAAAAAAAAAAAAAGAAACTTTCAAAATTACTGTTTATCACTTCTTATGTATTTTTCAAGCACTTTTCTAGCATACATTATGCATAGATAAGGAATATTCTATGAATACATATAAATGATGGAATCTTCATCATTTATGTATTTTCATTTACACAGGAAAATTTCCCATAACAGTTCATTACAGCACCATCAACTTCATCCCCTTTAATGGCTGAACATCACACAAAAACAATCCATAATTTAGTTTACAGATACTCTGACAGCTGAGGCTGCTTAAAGAATGATACAAGGAACATCTCTGAACACTCACATCTGCTGTGCCACCAGGAAAAAGCACCGGAAGTCGAATTTAGAGTCAAAAAGTTAAATTTAGCTAAAATCCATCTGAAAAGTCTGTCAATTTATACTGTCACCTTTTTCTCTAACTCCTCTTTCACCATTGGATATTACTATATTTATAAATCACCTTAAATTATCATTAAAAAATTGGTGTATTGGGATCAACATAGTGGTACAGCAGGTTAAGCCATCACCTGCTATGTGGGCATCCTATATGAGCAGCTGCTTCAGGTCACGGTTGCTCCACTTCCAACCCAGCTCCCCACTTGTACGCCTGGCAAAGCAGTGGAAAATGTCCAAGTCCTTAGGCCCCTGTACTCATGTGGGGACTCAAACAAAGTTTCGGGCTCCTGGTTTAGGCCTGGCCCAGCCCCTGTCGTTGTGGTCATTGGGGAGTAAACCAACAGATAGAGGATCTCCTCTCTGTCACTCTGCTTCTCAAAGAAATCAATCATTTTTTTAAAAATGGCATCTTGTTTCAACTTTCATTTCTTTAAGTGGAAGTTAGAACATCTTTTAAAACGAATAGCCCAAGGCTATCATTTGGATGTGGTTTGTCCTTCAAGGGTTTATGAATTGGATGCTTAGTCCCCAGTGTGAAGATGTTAAGAGGCGGAGCGTAGTAGGAAATCCTTAGGTCTTTGAGCATGCTGCCATGAGAAACAATTCATGTGAGAGGAATGTTATAAAAGGGCAAGACTGACCCCTCCTTGGTCTCTTTAGCTCCCTGTTTCGCCATGCGATCCTTCTCACAATGCACCCTGCCATGAGGTGATACAGCCATGGAGGCCTTTACCAGAGCCAGTGCTATTTTGCTTTCAGCTTCTAAAACTGTGATATCACTAAGCCTTTATTTTTTTAAAGATTTATTTTATTTATTTGAAAGAGAGAGTTAGAGAGAGAGGTAGAGACAAAGAGAGAGGTCTTCCATCTGCTGGTTCACTCCCCAGATAGCAGCAAAGGCCAGAGCTGCACCAATCCAAAGACAGGAGCCAGGAGCTTCTTCTGGGTCTCACACGCGGGTGCAGGGGCCCAAGGACTTGGGCCATCCTCTACTGCTTTCCCAGGCCATAGCAGAGCTGGATGGGAAGTGGAGCAGTAGGGTCTCGAACCAGCATCCATATGGGATGCCGGCGCTTCAGGCCAGGGCTTTAACCCACTGCACTACAGCGCCGACCCCAAGCCTCTTTTCTTTATACACTATCCAGCCTCAGGTATTTTGTTGTAGCAACGGGAAATGGACTAATACATCCATTTATACTTCTCTGAATCTGTTGTCAGCTGTGCACAGCCATTTTTCTTTTTTTGTTTTTAACTGAAACAGAATTAACACTCATTTAAATACACAGATCTAAAGCTACCTCAAGCAAGAAATAGAACATTTCCATCACTCCAGAAAATTCATTTATGGTCCTTTCCAATCAACTGCCCTGACAGCAACCGCCTTTTAACTTAAATTTTCTTGTTCTCTGATTTCATATAATTAGACAGAAAAGAGAAAGAAAAAAATACTATCAACTCGGTTCTTGTCTTTGATCATTTTATTGTTCAGTAGTGCATCCCTTTGTTCTCACTGCTTTGTAAAATATTAAAGAAAATATTCTCTTGAATTTTGTCTGTAGTTCTTGTTGTTATGCAACTTTTAAATTTCATGCAAATTCATCGGGCTTTCCCTTTATGTGCATTCTAAATTTTGACATATATTTACAAAACCCTTCTCTACCCTGAGATTTTAAAAAATTTTGCCCCATTTTCTTACAGTGTTTTCATGGTTTAACTTTCAAATAATTACCGAAAAGTCAAACTATCCAGTTGCAAGTAACTGGACAAGATGTCTTGGACACACTCTACTGCTACTGACTACTATTTATTGAATGAACACCATGGAGCAGGCACTGTAGTCCACCTTATTTAGTAGTTCCAGAGCCCTATGATCGAAAAGCTATTATCACGACCAATTTATAGCTGAAGGAAAGGATTTTAGCAAATTAACATGTTTAAGGTCACAATGCTTGTGAGTGACAAGCAGAGAAGTTGTTTAATTCTAGGTAGACGGACTGGCATTATAGTAGAGTGAGTGGTTAAGACCAAGCCACAGAGACTGGGTATCTCACATCAGAGCAGCTGTTCTGCTTCTAATCAAAAACAAAGTTTTTTAGCTGACTGTGGGGATTTGAGTAAAGAATTAGGACATTTGCTGGCCTAGTGTTAATGGGTTAAGCCACCAATTGCTTATGGGTGTCCTATGGGTGCGGGTTGGAGCCCTGGCTGTTCCACTTGCAATCCAGCACCCTGCCACTGTGCCTGGGGAAGCAGCTAATGATGGCCCAAGTAGCTGGGCCCCTGCACCCACATGGGAAACCCAGAAGCAGCTCCGGATTCCTAGATTTGGATTGGCCCAGCTCTGGCTGCTGAGGCAATTTGAAGAGCTAACCAGCGGATGGAAGATCTCTCTCTCTCTCGCTGCCTCTCTCTTTCTGTAACTCTGCCTTTCCAATAAATGTTTTTTAAAGATTTATTTATTTATTGGAAAGGCAGAGTTACAGGGAGTCAGAGGTAGAGAGACCATCTGCTGGTTCACTCCCCAAATGGCCTCAACTGCTGGAACTGAGCCGATCTGAAGCCAGGAGCCAGGAGCTTCTCCTGTGTCTCCCACGTGGGTACAGGGACCCAAGCACTTGGGCCATCCTCTACTGCTTTCCCAGGACATGGCAGAGAGCTGGATCAGAAGTGCAGCAGCAGGACACCAACTGGCACCCATATGAGATGCATACATTGCAGGCAGTGGCTTTTACCCACTATGCCATACCCCAATAAATAAATCTTAAAAAATTGTTTCACTCAAGCATCATGTGATACAGCAAGCAATATTCTCAGGACTAATGCTAGAAAAAACTACCAATGATAGGTATAAAATCTACAGAAGACAGACAAACTTTTCAAACAAGGTAAGCATTTCTGTATCAAGGTTCACATTAATTCTGGAGCAAACAATCTTAAGTAAACTGTTTCAGAAGGTCTTGCTGTTTAGGGTTTCAGAATTACTCTTTTCCCTCTTAATTCTTAAAAAAATATATACATATATACATACACACAAATATATTACACATACAATTATATAAAATATAAACTATTTCACAAGTGAATATTAAACTTATGCGTAACTCTGGCTTTAATATACTTTTTTTTATTTTTTAATTTTATTTATTTTTTTGACAGGCAGAGTGGACAGTGAGAGAGACAGAGAGACAGAAAGGTCTTCCTTTGCCGTTGGTTCACCCTCCAGTGGCCGCCACGGCCGGCGCGCTGCAGCCAGCACACCGCGCTGATCCGAAGCCAGGAGCCAGGTGCTTCTCCTGGTCTCCCATGCAGGTGCAGGGCCCAAGGACTTGGGCCATCCTCCACTGCACTCCCGGGCCACAGCAGAGAGCTGGACTGGAAGAGGGGCAAACGGGACAGAATCCGGCGCCCCGACCGGGACTAGAACCTGGTGTGCCAGCACCCCAGGTGGAGGATTAGCCTAGTGAGCCGCGGCGCCGGCCTAATATACTTGAAGTTCAAAATCAAAGCGTGGGCCGGCGCCGCGGCTCACTAGGCTAATCCTCCGCCTTGCGGCGCCGGCACACCGGGTTCTAGTCCCGGTCGGGGCACCAGATTCTGTCCCGGTTGCCCCTCTTCCAGGCCAGCTCTCTGCTGTGGCCAGGGAGTGCAGTGGAGGATGGTCCAAGTCCTTGGGCCCTGTATCCCATGGAAGACCAGGAGGAGCACCTGGCTCCTGCCATCGGAGCAGCGCAGTGTGCCGGCCGCAGCGCGCTGGCCGCGGCGGCCATTGGAGGGTGAACCAACGGCAAAGGAAGACCTTTCTCTCTGTCTCTCTCTCTCACTGTCCACTCTGCCTGTCAAAAATAAAAAAAAAAAAAAAATCAAAGCGTGGAACACAGAGAAGGTACTAGTCTCATGAAATAACGAAGCCCTAAAAAAAGAGATCACCTCCTATTCTACAGCACTGCCTGAATAAACTGACTTTCTCTTCATGCCTGGAATAAATAGTGTTCATGGTAACTGGAAACATTCCAGTTTGCTATGTGGGGAATTCTTCATCTGAAGAAGGCAAAATAAAGAGTTGGACATCCGTGTTTCAATATCAGCAACACTGCAGAATATAAAATCAATGACATTTTTAAAAAGCTATTCCAAAACACCTGAATTATGCTAGTTATTACGATGAGCCCAACGTAATCCTGAACTTAAAAAATGGATTTTAATCAAGAAATGGTTTTATTTTTTTCATAAACCTACTACTTCCAAAATTTCCATTACCATTTTATTGCAAAATCTACCCATCATCTGAAAAATTTATTATTTTCTGAACAGCAAGAAGAGCAATTTCAAAACAGTAAAAATTTCTTCTGACATACCATAAAAAAGTGAAACATAACTAGTAATCCTAAGGCACTTAGAGTAAAAATGATACTTCAATCAGGGAGTTTAAGCAACTTGAACTCCATAAATTACTAGTGACTAATGACAAGCAGTACTTCAGAATGTCATCAAATTATGATAGAAAGAAAAACTGTATTAGAATACAATTATGAAACATGGACATCAATCATATTAACTGAGTCTTTTGAAAAGGCAAGGTTGTTGACAAGAAATCATTTCCACACCTTTAAAAGTTGTAACACTGGGGCTGGTGCTGGGCTGTAGTGGGTAAAGCCATTGCCTACAGTGCCGGCATCCCATATGGGCACCGGTTCGAGACCCGGCTGCTCCACTTCCGATCCAGCTCTCTGCTATGGCCTGTGAAAGCAGAAGATGGCCCAAGTCCTTGGGCCCCTGTACCCGTGAGGGAGACCAGGAAGAAGCTCCTGGCTCTTGACTTTGGATCGGCCCAGCTCTGGCCATTGTGGCCTTTTGGGGACTAAAACAAGGAAGACCTCCCTCTCTCAAACTCTGCCTTTCAAATAATAAATAAATAAATCTTTTTAAAAAAGTTAGAATACTTAGCTACCTTACAGGTAATTAAAAGTAACAATTATCTGTAAGATGCTATACCTAAGATGTTTATTAAAAGATACAACAGATCTCTGTCTCTCCCTCTCTGTAACTCTGCCTCTCAAATAAATAAATCTTTAAAAAATACTATACATTCTGAATAAGGATATATACTTTTTAGTAAAGGATCATTTATCAGATTATGTGCCATTTTTTAAATTTTGGGGCAGTTCCAAAAATTAGAGTTTTGAAAGTTTGAACATTGGAAATATATTTCACTTGGATTCAGAAACTTATTGGCACAACTGTACCAGGCACTGTTGGCTTTGTGAAAGTCAGTGGAGTCGCGTGACAATCAATTCCTGAGAAGTGGTCTCTGCCGTCCAGAAGAATGAGGAAAACGGCTGGGAGAGGCGGGTGGAGGACTGGTTTTAGGGAGAGGAGGGCAGTGTGTGAGAAGCTGGGAGGCGACAGAATCAGTGGGCAGGATCGAGCCAGCCTTGGACCAGTGTGTTTGAGTCGTTTCACCTTGATCAGTCACCTGAATGAGTTGTGGATTCTCTGGACAGAACCACAGCTCCTCACTGGCTGGCTGGACTCTGGACAGGCCAATCTCTCCAAGGCAGACATAGCAGGAGCCTCACCGTTTTGCTCGGAGGGATAAACAAATCCTGTAGTCACTCCCTGGTATACAGCAAACACTCAACACAAGCGCGCTTTTACAACCAGCCCCACAGGTGCATAAGCCTGTCCGTCTTTTTCAAATCACAAACCTCTGAAAATGAAACTCCCAGGTTTGGCACAAAACTTTTTTGGCGGCCACATCTGACCGGAGGCTATTTATGGTTTCTATTCATTCAGATGAGCATTCCCCCCCACGGCCGCACAAATTTTCCCCACGCCGTTATGTCTGTGCGTGTAATGACACGGTCTTTCTGAAATCGATGAAATCCAAAGATTCTGAATTCTGCAAAACATCTGTTCCAAAAAGGCGGGCTGGGCGTTACCCACTGCTTCTGGAGAAAGAGAAAGAACATTCCCCCCGCACACAGCTCAGCGCACAAGTCTCCGAGGCAAGTCAGGTTTACACGGAGGGTTCGGAGACACCCGCAGCAAGAAATTTCTATTCCTCCTGCGACCAGAACGCGACTGAACAAAGAATCCCCGAGCGACTCGGGACGGCCACCTCCGCCTGCGATGAGGGCTCGGGGGACGAGAGGCCTGTGCAGGCAGCGGGCGTGCAGTGGGGGGCAGCCCGGGCCGGGAGGCGACGGTATCGTGCCCGGCCTGGACTCTGTGTCTAGGAAAAGCACCACCAGCGCTGTGCACTGTACAGAGGAAATCGGTTTGGTCCGTGGAAGCCCCCACGCATAAATCGCGCTCCTCCACGAGTGTCCCGCACCGCAGCGCCTCGAGAGTGGAAGCCGCGGGCCCCGGCCCCGCGCGGGTCCTCCTCACGACCGACGCAGGCCTCGCACTCCCTTCTTCACCGAACATGAATGCATGGGGGTGGGGGTCAGGCCGGGGAGGAGCAGGCTAACAGACCCTCGGGGCCGAACGAACAAAGGGAGTGCGGGATCAACCGGAGCGAACCGGCCTCCGAGCGGGTCTCGCCCGCCAGGGACGGTGGGGGAGGGGCGGGCCCGCTCCCGCCCCGCCCCCGGCCGAGCCTGACGTCAAACGGAGAAAATCCCGTCGGGCGCGGCGTCCGTGTCCCCCGACCCCGTCTCCGCCGGGGGTCGCACACCCCGCGGCGCAGGCGGAGGTGGCCGAGGCGCGCGCTCCGTCTCGGCCGCCGGCGGGAGGCCACGGCCCGCGCGCCGACGGAGACGGCAGGCAGCCCCGCTACCGCGCCCGCCTCCCGCTGCCTGGGCCCGCCACCTCAGCTCCCCGTCGCCCGTCTCCACGAGCCCTCCCGCTCCGAAGCAGCCTCACCTTGGCAAGATCTGAGCCCCCAGCAGGGTCTGGAAACGACGATGGAGCCGAGGGACCTGAGCGCTGAGGAACCGAGGTCAGCCCGACTGACGGCAGCGACGGCGGCGGCACCAGCAGAGCGCGAGGCTCCTCCTGGCGCCGGAAGAGGAAGCGCGCGCGCCGCCCCCGCCCGCGTCCCCCGCCCCCGGCGTCCGGCGTCCGGCGGGGCGCGCCCCCTGCAGGCCGCCGATGGCACTGAGCGGGAGCGCACCGCGGGAAAGCAGGCGCCGCCGCCTGGGATTTTCCAGGCAGCGCGGCGGGAATCGCTCCCACAATGCAGTCTCCATTCCCTCAGTTCAGCGGGTTTCAGTCAGGCCTGGCACTCACCTTGGAGGGAAGCAAACCGCAGCCTGACCCGGGACCCAGAACTTAAGACCAACCTTGGGGAGAACTCTGATGAATGCGTGAAGTGGAAGATGTTTCCAAGTGGCTTGACACACTGATATTTGCTGTCCTAGCAGATTTTTTATTTGAAAGACAGTGATAAAGGGAAAGAGAGCTCTTCCACCCACTGGTTCACTCCGCCCGGGTCTCCCACGTTGGTGGCAGTCCGCTGCCTTCCCAGGGACATTGGTAGGGAGCTGGCTGGGTGGCAGGACAGCTGGGGCTGGAACCAGCGCTCATATGGGATGGCGACGTCGCAGGTAGTGCCTTAACTTGCTGAGCTACACCACAAGCCCCTGCAGATTTTTCTTGAACAATGTCTCTTCTCACACTCAGATACTTAGGCCAGATGACTGACACGTGGCCCCAGCCATTAAAGAACCTATGTCACACTATGTCATGGTATCTATACAAACACACATATTATGTATACACTTATAGTATGTGTATGTATGTATGTAAACTAAAAGTTTGCAGTACTTACACTTTTGCTTCTTTACGTGAAAGCAGTTAGTGGGCCAGTGGGAAGACATGTGACATTCCCACTTCTTACAGACAGACATCCATGGATATGCTCCACCACACAGTTCTCACACTGATAAAGGAGCAATAGAGGAGCTTCAGTACTTAAGCCCAGGGGAGGCATAGTTTTGCACAAAACCACAGGTCTGTGGAAAATAGCATTACTTGTGTGGAGAACCTACCAGGACCTCTTAGGAGGCACAGTCAGCAGTGCCTTCTGGAGCTATTTTGGGGTTTGAGGGAAACATCAGTGATTAAATTCCTGTCTTGATTTAAAATTTAGGTATTTTGTTGATTGTAGACTTTCTATACACTCATACATTGCTTGAAAATATTATGTTCCTTATGAAGTCTTTTAGTCAAAAAACCTTTTGTGCCCAAGTGGAATACCTCACCCTCCTCACCCTAGTCCTGGCTCTGTGCATCAAAGGGAGGGACAGCCTCCAGCATTCCCTGCCTGCAGCAAGCCAGAAACAGAGCATGGTGATTTCAAAGGTAAGGCCATTCTGGTCCCAGAAGGACTTGTCTACACTCAACCCTGACTGGGTCACTGCCCATTTGCACTTTTCAGAATGTACTGCAGCCAAGGCCCATCCTACCCAATCCTTTCTTCTATGCAAGGTGCAAGGTAGTATGGGTCTGAAGACTTCTCTACCTTCTCCCGCTCCCCTTTAGCTTTCATAGGTGTTTCACCCATATAAATCTTTCCCATATCTTATCCCACATTGCCAGTTGCTTATGGAAGACCCAAACTGATGCACTAAAGACTAATAGTGTATTGTAGTACATCAAAATGTGTTAGGAATATCAGTTTTTCATTTTTTCCTTTTCAAAGTTGCATGTGTGATATATATATATACAATGTTTTGAAAACAACACAAAAACTTTGGCTTTTACATATGGCGTTTAATTAAGAGGAAATGAAAATTTATTCAGATCAACTTATTTAATTCATATCCAAGAAGAAACATTCAACTTCAGGATAAGAAATAACAGTTGAAATAGTCTACTTGTTTTGGATAAGGAGCGGGTCATACAAGACTGATAAAGAGTCATACCTCTGTGTAAAAGCTACTACTTAACCTCTATTTATTCAAGCATATATCACTCATATTTGGCGTACACAGTATTTTTCCAATTCTAGCAAAGGCAGCATAATTTGAGTAGATCTCCTTCACTTTCACCATGGTTCTCAAGTCTGAAAGTTTATATTTGACTATAACCACAGCAAAAGTGATTATCTTTATTTCCTGCAAATGGAAGTAATTTTTTTAAAAAAGATTTATTTGAAAGGCAGACTTACAGAGAGAGGGAGAGATAGAAAAAGAGAGATCTTACGTCTGCTGGTTCATTCCCCAATGGCTGCAATGGCTAGGGCTAGGCCAGGCCAAAACCAGAAGCCTACGACTCCATGCAGGTCTTCCAGGTGAATGGCGGGGGGCCTATGAACTTGGCTGGAGCAGCAGGGACTTGAACCAGCACCCATATGGGATGCCAGCATTGCAGGTGGTGCCTAACCTGCTGTGCCATAACACTACCCCCAAATAAAAGCCATTTTTAAGGTAAGTTAGGCAAGCATCAATTTTACACAGACCCTATGAAGTACAGGAAGAAATGGCAATTGTTCATTAGTTATAGAATTTACACCATTAATTCAAATTGCAGTTTTTCTCTGTCATCAAATAAAGCCAAGAGAGAGAGCCCGTTACAGAGACACAAGTAAATGTGACAACGCAGGGTCTGCTAAAGGGAATATTCTGAAAACCTATCATCACATTAGTACTTTGGCTGTATGGCAGTTATTTCCAAGTGTACTCCAACGGTCACTTCTCACCAAAGGATTAACTTTCAGGAAGTCAAGTGACAGGAATAAGAATATCAAAAAGCTTGTGGCAAAGTGAAATGAAGAGAGAAAAATAAAGAGTGCATGTTTTATTTCTCAACATAAGCTACATCAAGTTCAAGATATGTGTAAGCGACAATACTAGCTATTTATCCTATGCTTAAAGAACTAAGGGTCTTGGGAATTAAACCTCATCAATAGTCTTTCACACACTAGTGACTGAAGAAAAATGGGTTCCCTTTAAAGATTTAAGAAACATAAAGGAGAGAGGCCAAAATACTTCCGGAAGGTGGATACCTAATGATTTCTCATCAAAACTCTCAGGAAATCGCCCATGTTGGAAGAGAGGAAGAAGCAGGAACAGTATTGTGGTGGAGAAAGACTCTGTTAAACTTTCTTGGAGTTTTTCTGCTAAAGTGTTGGCTAACTTTCTCAAAGCACTCCCCTAATAAGCAGATATCACTGTTTTTTGGCCCTCCAGAAAACCAACAAGCTAAATACCTTGAATATTCCCATGAAACTATTTCCATATTCAATACTCTCGACTGATCCACTTTTGTTTGGATGGACCTACTTCTACCTTTTGACAGCCATTGCTTTGATTGTGCTTTGCTGTTAGGGTCACATTGGTTAAGCCAAGTTTTACCTCCAGTTAGAATTCTTTGAAGAAATGCTTCAGGATCTTGATCCTATTTGCTTAAAATTTCCATGGATTGCTCTGGTGTTGTCTGCGGCTGATCTGGGTAAAAGAGTTTTGGCACACGTCCAGTGGAAACTTTGCTCCACTTTAAAAATGTTCACTCCGAGTTGAGATCTTGATGGTGTTGGCTTCTTTCTGCTGTTATCTGCTGGTCCCCTTCAATTAGTGCAGAAATGAGATTACTTTTTTTCCTCACAAATCGATGTGGATGGTGTGCTGCTGCGGATTTCATCTTCAACATCATCTCGTCCCTCCTTAAAACGATTTACCCACTTGTAAACTGCTGATTTCTCTGGGGCGTTGTCCCCATAAACTTTCCGTAAAGCATCCAGGATTTCATCATTCTTCCATCCAAGCTTCACCATAAATTTGATGTTTCTTCTCATTTCAATTTTAACAGAATTCATGTTGCTCTGACAGGGACTCTTTCAGACTGATGCTTTACCCTTCTTACTGCTTCAAACTAGATCCTGTTCAGACATGTGATAACAAGTTAGTACAAGATTATTCTGATGCAAGAAAATTTAAAAATGCATATCGCTTTTTATAATATGCATAATCCATAAACTGCTTTTTCACATACTTATAATACACAGTAAACTAGTCATAGATCAACATAAAACAGAAATTATTCCACAAGCTAATTTTTTTTAAAGATTTATTTATTTATTTGGAAGGTAGAGCTACAGAGAGGCAAAGGCAGAGAAAGAAGTCTTCCATCAGCTGGTTCACTCCCTAAATGGCTGCAATGGCCGGAGCTAGGCTGATCCAAAGTCAGGAGCCAGGAGTTTCTTCCAAAGTCTCCCACATGGGTACAGGGGCCCAAGGACTTGGGCCATCTTCCACTGCTTCCCCAGGCCATAGCAGAGAGCGGGATTGGAAGTGAAGCAGCCAGGACTCGAACCAGCACTCATAAGGGATGATGGCACTGTGGAAGATGACTTTATCCACTATGCCACAGCACTGGCCCCACAAGCTAATATTAAACCTACTGACAACTCTGGATTCAAATTTTCTGAGTTCAAAATCAACATATGAAAGATACAGAAGCTATTAGAATCTTATAAAGTAAGGAAGGTCCAACCAAAGAAATTATAAGCAGGTCTCTACCTATTCTAAAGCACTGCCTTAATAAAGTGACCATCTCTCAGAGCCAGCGCTGTGGCATAGTGGGTAAAGCTGCCACCCACAGTGCCAGCATCCCATATGGCACTGATTCGAGTCCCGGCTGCTCCATTTCTGACCCAGCTCTCTGCTATGGCTTGGGAAAGCAGAAGATGGCCCAATTCCTTGGGCCCTGCACTGGAATGGGAGACCCAGAAACTCCTGGCTCCTGTCTTTGGATTGGCTCAGCTCCAGACATTACAACCATTTGGGGAGTGAACTAGCAGATGGAAGACTTCTCTCTTTCTCTGTCTCTCTCTGCCTCTGCCTCTCTGTAACTCTTTCAAGTAAATGAATAAAATCTTTAAAGTGACCATCTCTCTACACCCAGAATAAACAGTGTCCCTGTTAATTGGGAACATTCCAATTTGTCCTTTGGGAGATACTCTTAAAAAATAAGAGCTATATATTAGGTTTTCTTTTCTTTTAAAGATTTACTTTTACTTATTTGAAAAGCAGAGTTACAGAGAAAAATCTTCCAACTGCTAGTTCATTCCCCAAATGGCTGCAACAGCTGGGATTAGGTCAGGCCAAAGCCAGGAATTGATATCCATCCAGGTCTCCCATTTGGGAGACAGGGGCCCAAGTACTCAGGCCGTCTGCCACTGCTTTCCCAGGCACATTAGTAGGGACCTGGGTTCGAAGTGGAGCAGTGAGGACTTGAACCAGCATTCACGTGGGATCCTGGCATTGTAGTGTTGCAGGCTGTGGCTTAACATACTGTGCTTCAACACTGGCCACTGGAAATCAGTTTTTCAATATGACCAATGTTACAGAATGTAGAAAAATCTTCATTTTATGAAAAACTTCTATAAAATATCTGAATTATTCTAACTATTGAGACGAGGTCAATATAAGCTTGAACTCTGTAAGGAAAGATTATAATCAGAAATGTTTTCATTTCAAAATAATCTAAAGCTATTCCTTCCACAACTTTCTATTACCACTTTATGGAACAATTTACCTATCATCTGAAAAATAATAATTGAGCAAGAATTGCAATTTCATATCAGAGTAAAAATTTTCATTGAAATACACTAGAAAAGTAAAATATTTTGGTGACTACTTCATTGTTTAGAGTAAAAGACATTTCAATTACTGCAAAGTTTAAGAAACTTGAACTCCACAAATAACTAGTGACTACTGACAAACAGTATTTCAGGGGGTCATCAAATTGTGATGGAGTGATAAATAGTCTTAGAATATAGTTATGAAACCTAGATATCAATTCCTTTAACTAAGTCTTTCTACCAAGGCAAGCTTTTTAACAAGAAACCATTACCCCTATAAAACAGTTATAATTCTAAGCCAGATCAGGGATGATTAAGGCAAACACAATAATGTAAAAAATGCTATGCAAACGTAAGAGGTTTATTAAAAGACACCAAGAGGTATCAAAAATTTTGCATTGTCTTATTGATTACTGGGGTTGGGGTGGGAAGAACATTGCTGAGTATTGCATTGAAATTATAAATTCTGGGGGCTGGCGCTGTGGCGTAGTGGGTTAAAGCCCTGGCCTGAAGCGCCGGCATCCCATATTGGCACCAGTTCGTGTCCTGGCTGCTCCTCTTCTGATCCAGCTCTCTGCTATGGCCTGGGAGAGCAGTAGAAGATGACCCAAGTCCTTGGGCCCCTGCACCCACGTGGGAGACCGGGAGGAAGCTCCTGGCTCCTGGCTTCACATTGGCGCAGCTCCAGGCTAGATCAGTGCTGGAATGAGCTTCGGTTTCTTCAAGCATGCAGACAGGGCCAGTATAGTGTTATGAGGGCCAAAATGGGACCCTGTCCAATCAAGTGCCTCAAACAGTTCTTGCAAAGCAGCAGGTGGGCAACAAATACCGAATTGTTCTGTCTTCCTTTGTAGGTGCACAGACAGCAGTGAGCAGTGGGTCAGAGCGAACCCGGCAGTGCCGCTGACAGAACCACAGCGGCTCACCCGCCCCTGGCTGGCTGGATTCTGCCCAAGCCCATCTCTGCGAGCTTCACCGGTAGAGGAAAAGCAGGAGTAGCATACATCTCACAGATTTGCTCTGCGACATAAACAAATCCCGAGGTGGCCGCCTGGTAGTGCGCACACACTCATCAGATGCTAGCTTTTACAATCGGTGTTGTACTGTTAGTCTGCCCTTCTCAATCACACACCTCTGAAAAGGAAACCTTCCCAGGGTTGGCACAAAACTTATTTGACAGGCGGCAAAATCTGACCTGAAGCTACACGGTTCCTATGAATCCCGTTAGAATAAAAATACTCAGACCCACGGCGGCACACATATTCCTGCGGGTTGCAGCCCCACCCCCACCCCCACCCCCCACGCTCCTGTAAGCTGGTGTTATCTTTCGGAACACAAAGCTCTAAAGATTTCTTCCATGCTAGACCACAGTGGCCCCAAGGGTTTGGCAGAGACTGGGGCTGGTATCTTCCAATTCCTTCCGGAGGGAGGCCCGCGCATCCCAACGTCCTCAGGAAGTACAGGAGCAGATTCAGACAGGCGACAGGGTCTCAGCTTGCGTTCCAGCTTTTCCCTTTTATTAAAAAATTAGTGACCGAGCCGGGAGGGGCTCGGCCGAGCGGCGCGCGGCCCACTGCTCCTCGGGGCGAACAAAGGGGATCGGCGATCCAGGCGAGCAAGGCCCCGGCAGGGCGAGAGGTGCAGGGCGCCGCGCGCAGGCCAGGCCTAACGGCCAGAGTGACTTGCCCCGCACGCGGAGGTGGTCAGCGTCTGCCGGCGCCCTCTTGGGTGACCCCGAGAACCGCGGGGCCCAGACCCCAGGGAGGCGACTCCGGCCCGAGCGCTGGCGGCGACTCGAGGCCCCTCGGTTCCTGCGCCCGCCTCCCGGGGGGCCACTCCCGCCAGCCAGCCCCGCCACCTCAGCTGCCCCCCGTCCCTCTCCAGGGTCCCTCGGGCGCCGGGGCAGCCTCACCTGGCCGGATGCGAGCCGCCCGCGGGGCCTAGCGGAGGCGACGGGCCCGAGAGGAGCGAGCTCCGCGGAGCCGAGCGCAGCCTGACTGACGGCCGCCGCGCCCGCGCCTCCCCGCGCGCACGAGCAGGAAGCGCCGAGCGCCCGCCCCCGCCCGCGCTCCCGCCGCCGGCCGAGCCGCAGCGAACGCGCCCGGCCGGCCCGGACCGCTCGGGGGCCGCCGCGCGGAGGGGAGCCCAGTGTTCCGCGGAGGGGAGCCCGGTGTTCCGCGTGGCGGCGGCTGGGCGGGTCAGCGGGGCGGACACTGCTGCCTTGAGTGCGGACCCCCGCTTCCCTACGCTCGGCGGCCTTTACGGTTAGGCCTGGACGCCGACACATCGCGGCCCACGCAGAGCCTCGGGCCCAAACTGCGGAGAACTAAAAGATCCACACGGGAAAAGGAACACGTTTGCAGGATGGCTTGACAATTTGCTGGTTTTTTCCTGAACAGTGCCCCTTCTCCTGACGTGTTCATTTTGGAATAAACATTTAGTACCTGCTTTGTCAGGTCAAGATGATTGACAGATGGCCCCAGCTATCTAGTAACCCGTTAGCTCATAATGAAGACGTCATGATAATTATATGGGTCAGAGATATACATATATATATATGATGTATTTTAAAGACTTATTTATTTATTTGAAAGAGTTACACAGAGAGAGAAGGAGAGGCAGAGAGAGAGAGAGATCTTAAGAGCTTCCATCCACTGGCTCACTCCCTAGATGGCAGCAAGGGCGGGAGCAGCACTGATCCGAAGCCAGGAGACAGGAGTTTCTTCTGGGTCTCCCACGCGGATGCAGGGGCCCAAAGACTTGGGCCATTTTCTACGGCTCTCCCAGGCCATAGCAGAGAGCTGGACTGGAAGTGGAGCAGCTGGGACTTGAACCAGTGCCCATATGGGATGCCGGCGCCACAGGCGGTGGCCTTAACCACTACGCCACAGCAGCAGCCCCAAACACCATCTTTTTTAAAGATATTATTCATCTACTTGAGAGGCAGAGTTACAGGCAGAATGAGGGAGACACACACACACACACACAGATCTTCCATCTGCTGTTTCACTCCCTCAAGTGGCCAGCTAGAGCTGGGCTGATCTTGAAGCCAGGAGCCAGGAACCTCTTCCAGAGCTGGATTGGAAGTGGAGCAGCTGGGACCTGAACCAGTGCCAGTATGGGATGCTACGCCACAGCACCAGCCCCTAGAGTTTCTCTTTCGCTTGTTTGGGCTATTAGTGGATCCATGGGATTTCACACATGTGAGTGGCAGGGGCCTAAGCACCTGGGACATCTGCTGCTCTTCTCAGGCCAGAAGCAGGGAACTGGATCAGAAATGGAGCAGCCACCAGGACTAGAACTGTTACTGGAGAATGGCAGGGTCCTTGTCTTCGTGCAAGAAAGAATTCAGGCGTGAGACAGAGAGTAGTGGAAAGTAAAATAGCAAGGTTTATTAGGGAAGGGACATCCTTAAGAACGGATGGGCACCTCTCCAGACAGAACCTGAGAGAGAGAGCCCAGTCACTCGGACTGGGGGAGAGCAGGGTTACATGGTCGAGTGGAGAGAGTATACCTGGGCAGGCCAGGCGGGCGGCTCAGCAGAGAGGCAGAGGGCTGAGTGTGCAGTCCGGTTGAGTCTAGCGGTTTTTAAGGGGATGGGTTTTGCCTCCCCACCTCTGTTCCTCCTGGAACAAGGGACTTTTTGGATGTAAATAGGAAAAATTCCTATCTGAGTTTTCCCCCTGAAGTTATCAGACAGGAGGAAGCCTGGCTGGCATCGCCCTGGTTAGAGGAAAGATGGGCAGGACTCCTTGGAAGATCCATAGGATGTTTGAAGTGCAGATACTGGGCTGCACCTGGAAGGTTATCAGGCAGAAGGGGCGGGACCCCCACCTGGCAGGGTATCGGGATGACTTTGAGATGCATATGCTGGACCTAGATGTCAACTCTTTAGGCCTTTGTCACACACACACACATAAGCTCATATCTGACTTCCTGCGTGACAGAATCAGTGACCATGCTGATGCAAGCAAACAACTTTACCTGCTATACCACAATGTTGGCCCATGGTTTAAAATTTCAGTATCTTGTTAATTATAGATCATTCTTGTATTGGTTTAAATATCGCATGAAGGGGTCAGCCCTGTGGCCTAGTAGGCTAACCCTCCACCTGCAGCACCGGCATCCCATGTGGGTGCTGTTGGTGTTCCTGCTACTCCTCTTCTGATCTAACTCTCTGCCTATGGTCTGGGAAAGCAGCAGAACATAGCCCAAGTGCTTGGGCCCCTGCACCCTCATGGAAGACCTGGAAGAAGCTCCTGGTTCCTGGCTTCAGATGGGGCCTTTGCGGCCATCCGGGGAGTGAACCAGCGGATAGAAAACCTTTCTCTATGTCTCTGCCTCTCTCGGTCTGTAACTTTACCTCTGAAATAAATAAATAAAATCTTTAAACTGAACATGATGGGGGGGTTCCAGGGCCTTGCTGTTCTGGTCTCATGTGGACTGATCTACAGCCAACATTTACTTGGTAACAAACTCTCTTTCCACTTGGGTTTTCTTCAGAAAGCACAAAGTCTGGAGTCCACTCTACCTAATCCCTTCTTCCAGACTTTTATAGGTGTCAGTCCTGCAAGGTGGAAGGACTTCCCTACCTCCTATTGCTTCCTTCCCCTTTAGCCTTCACAAATGTCTTACCTGAGATAACGCTCTCCCCTATCTAATCTCATGCTGGCAGCTGCTTCTGGAAGACTCAAACTGAAGCACTGAAGACTAATAGTGTATTGTAGTAAATCAGAGATCGTGTAAGAATATAGAATTTTCAAAGTTTAAGTTGGTTGTGTGAAGTACATACATACAATGTTTCCGGAACAGAACACAAAGCTTTGAACCTACATATGAAGTTTAATTATGAGGAAATGAAAATTTACTCGAACTAACTTATTTGAACTCATATCCAAGAAGAAACATTCAACTTCAGAATTAGAAATAACACTGGAAATTGTCTACTTCTGGGTTTGGGGTGGGTAAAGTGTGACTGAGAAGCTATAACTTTGTGAAGTGACTACTTATACTCTGTATACTCAAGTATATGTCATTCATACTTGGCTTATACAGAATTGATACAATTCCAGCAAATCAGCAGAATTTGAGAAAATCTTGAGTTTCACATCTTAGCTCTCAAGTCTGAAAGCTCAGATAATTATATTCATGGCAAAAGTGATAATCCTTATTTCCTGCAAATGTAATGAACTTTTAACATAAAGTTATTGAAGGCTGGCGCCGCGGCTCAATAGGCTAATCCTCCGCCTTGCGGCGCCGGCACACCGGCTTCTAGTCCCGGTCGGGGCGCCGGATTCTTTCCCAGTTGCCCCTCTTCCAGTCCAGCTCTCTGCTGTGGCCCGGGAGTGCAGTGGAGGATGGCCCAAGTCCTTGGGCCCTGCACCCCATGGGAGACCAGGATAAGTACCTGGCTCCTGCCATCGGGTCAGCGCAGTGCGCCGGCCGCAGCGCGCTGGCAGCGGCGGCCATTGGAGGGTGAACCAACGGCAAAGGAAGACCTTTCTCTGTCTCTCTCTCTCACTGTCCACTCTGCCTGTCAAAAAAAAAAAAAAAAAAAAAGATAAAGTTATTGAAACATCAGTTTTACATAGATCCTATGAAGTGTAGGAAGAAGTATTAATTGTTCATCTGGTTACAGAGTTTAAATCATAAATTCAAATTACTCATCTTCTCTAATGTCAAATATGGTCCAGAAAGCCTATCACAGAGAAACAAGAATGGGATTCTGCAGGTCCAGTATCAGCATTTGGCCCCCCAAACATTGGCAGACATTTAAACTCCAAAGTCATTAATCCAAAGTGGATTAATGTGAATGGCTGGAATAAAGGTGGAAGTTGATCCTGCCAGGTGTTGGAAAGTGGGGCCCTTGAGGAGTGATTGGATGGGACTAGGTTGCTAGGGCAGCGTGCCATGATTGAATCACGAGGGGGGGGGGCACACACAGACAGGGAAGATCAACATGCCTCATGTCTCTCCCTGCTCCCTGGCTTGCTTGCCCTCTGATCCTCCCTCCCTCATCAGATTCCAGATTAATAGGGCTCCCTGGTCTTGGACTGTGAACCCCCAAAACTATAAGCCAAAATAAACCTTCCTTGGGAAGTAGAAGTAGCTGCTTTGGGGTGTTTTAATTGTAGTATCAAAACGCTGACTAGTCCGGTACTTAAAAGCAATTATTTTCAAGTATGCTCCAAGGGTCGCCTTTTACCAATGGATGAACCTTCAGGAAGGGACAAGAATCAGGAGACCTCAAAAAGTTTGTGGGAAAATGGAATGAAGAGAAAAATAAACTTTATTTTTCCACGTCAGCTCAAGTCCAGTATATTTTTGTTAGTGGTGATACCAGCCATTTTATCCCTCCATAAAAAACTGGGAAATCAATCACATCAGTGAAGTCTATTTCACATAATTGAAGAAAAATGTAGGCCCTTTCAGCATTTTTTAGCATTAGGAAAGAAAAGAAGTTGAATGAGTACTATATGGTGGATGCCTCATGATTTTGCCTCGAAATGCTCACAAAATTGCCTCTGTTTGACGAGAATAATGAGCAGGAACAAGGTTGTGACAGAGAAGGACTCTCTGGATACTTTTCCAGCTAAAGCATTGGCTTTCTCAAAATACTCTTTTTTTCTTTTTAAATTATCCTGACACTCTTTTTATTTTATTTTTAAAAAGATTTATTTATTTATTTGAAAGTCAGAGTTACACAGAGAAAAGGAGAGGCAGAGAGAGAGAGAGAGAAAGAGGTCTTCCATCTGCTGGTTTACTCCCCAACTGGCCACAATGGCTGGAGCTGTGCTGTCCAAAGCCAGGAGTCAGGAGCTTCTTCTGGGTCTCCTACGTGGGTGCAAGGGCCCAAAGATCTGGGCCATCTTCTACTGCTTTCTCAGGCCGTAGCAGAGAACTGGATTGAAAATAGAGCAACCGGGACTTGAATTGGCGCCCATATGGTTTGCCTGCACTGTAGGTGGTGGCTTTACCTGCTACACCACGGCCCTGGCCCCTCAAAACACTCTCACAATAAGCAAATGATATTAGTTTTTGGCCCCCAAAAGGTCTCCTATCTGCTGGTTCGCTCCCCAAATGTCCACAAGAGCTGCAGCAGGCCAGGCTGAAACCAGGAGCCAGGAACTCTCTGGGTTTCCTATACGGGTGGCAGGACCCCCACTATTTGAACTATCAATGGCTGCTCCTAGGGTTTACATCAGCAGGAAATTGGAATCAGGGGTGGATCTGGGGACTGGAACCTATCGAAACATAGGATTTGGGTATCCCCAGAGGAATTTTAACTGTACATCAAATGGT